TTTCCAGCAAAAACTGAACATCCTGCTTTTCTTAAAAGATCCTGGTAAGGGAACAATCACGCTCTGTGCTGAAGTTCTTTTACTCTCATTGTTTTGAAAGTGCTTCTATGATGTTCAAACAAATAATTCAGCTGTTCATGATTCAGCTATGTGTGCCATGGAGATACCTGATTGGATTGCCTACTTTTTAAAATGTGGATCAAGCCCATGGCGTAGGAGGCATTAGCCCCACATTGATTCCCTGACGCAAATCACCCCTGGAGCTGCTTTTTTGACAAGACTGAGAGGTGTAACAAAATGTCTGAATTAACTGTGGATTAATATTCCTAGAAATTGGCAGGGGAAGGTGCTTAATGACCCATAGACTGCAAATTACACTGAAGGAACCCAATCTCTTATAAAATATTTGTTGCCATTGTGGCATTCCATGGTTTCTCAGATTAAACTGCAATGGTAGTTCACTAGACAAGGGATAAACAAGATGTGGGCCACATACAGTCATCATGGCAATTTGTTTGCCCCCCCCCCCCCCGTTGCTGGCACACATCCCTCAAAATACTAATGGACCTTGTTTCCCAGAAGACTCAGTCCTCTAACAGCACACCAAACAAATGTTTATTTTTTTATTTTTATTCTAACAAACCAAGTGGGCTGCAAGCAATTTATAAGTAAGTCAGTTCATTTAAACTGTCCCCCCTCCCGCAGCCTTGCTCTTTACAAAATTAAGATTCCCTCCAAATGTTTTTTTTCTCTAAGTTTGCACTCACAGAAACATAAGAGCCATGATCAGTTAGGCCAATCTAGTTCAGCATTCTGTTCACACAGTGTCAACCAGCCGCTTGAGGGGAGGGCACCGGTAGGCCATCAGTGTAGCAGCACACTCTCACTTGTGTTTTTTTGGATTATGGAGGCATGCTGACTCAGATACTGGAGCTCATGCATAGTCTTCATAACTAGTAGTCTTCATAAAGATAGCTTTATCCCCCATGAATTTGTATAATGCCCTTTAAAATGCATCTAGGTTTGTGGTTGTTACATAAAATGCGGCCTAGCAATTAATAGTACAAAGTGAGCACAAGCCATATGCAACATAGCACATAAAATGACTAGGCAGGCTGAGTTAGACTACTTGCTGACCATATAAGGAAGACTTCACTGATTGACCTCTTCAGATAGGTTCACAAATACTTTAGGAGGGTGGTAACTGGAGCTGATAGCCAAGGTTTAAAAGTTTGTTGAACTGTGCCACAAATGTGTGAAGATCGCTTTTTTTTTTTTTTTTAAGGCAGCAGTTTGTTACCCTCAGCTGAAGCCCGCTAATAAAAACTAGTTTTGATCCTACATTGTGTCTTTGCTTCCCTCTTGAAACAACTAAATTGGCATAAGTCCTCTCAGGAGAAGAACTGTTAAGGTGTAATTTAACCAACAAAATTGGCATGCCAGTCAGGAGAGTTCCTAAGACTGAGACAAGATTAGGAAGCGACCAGAGGTGAAGTTCACTGATTAAGCTTGTCACCCTGTCATGAGGATGTGAGTCTCTGTACTGGGGTGGTTAGAAGGACTCTTTGAGGAAGCAAGCCAATGTTTAGGACCAGGAACTGAATTCAGCTGCAGTGTCAGATGCAGCTCTAGAAACATGAGTCTCTTCTGTATTCTTCCCTTTGGGGACCTGGGGTCTAGACCATCTGATATTCTGGTTTTCTGGTATTTTGAAAAGGGAGACATCGCCAGGCAAAAATGGCTTCTTCTCAGTCGCGACAGGAAAAATCTAATATTCCATTGGGATTCATGCCCAAAAATTGGGGAAGGTTTTGGGGTCAAAATAATGAAGGAAACTCTGATTTCTTTGTGTGAATTAGAAATGGCCTGTAATTCTGCTGGCTGACCACCAGCAGAATCGTAAGATATGAACAAAAGAAATCAGGTCTATCAGACTGTGGTAGATAGTGGGCATTGGGACCTGTTCCCCTAAGTAGATAGGTAACAAGGAGTGTTGTAGAGAAATCCTTGTTGGTTACTCAAGTTTAAGGGGTAAATGTGTAAAACCATGATGGCAAGACCTATGCACAGGGCTCAACAAGCTAAAACCAGTATTGCCTCCTACCCAGGCTGAGACTGAGGAAGTGCGAAAATCATCCAATGCCCAGTTACAGTCAGCCCTGACTCCTGTCCCTTTAGCACTGCTCCCAGATACCTCCCCCTCCAAAACCCAGCACCCTAGTGAGGATGAAATAGCACAATAGTTGCAGGAAAATCTCTGAGTGGCAATGCAGAAGTTCAAAGATGAGCATGTTTCAAGGAAAGGGGGTTGGAAAAATGGAGACCTGATTCCCCTCTTGGATGGGGAATGGGAAAAGATAGCAGATAGGCAAGTGAGATATATTTGAGTTATGTGGCAGCAGGAGCGAGGAAGGTGGTGGTTTGAGTATGGGAATCAAGAGGAGAATGAGGGAAGGGCAAGAGATTTGAGTAGAGCCAGAAAGATCATGGCTCCAGCCTTTGAGGCTCAGCCTCCAACACAGGGACATGCTCGTAAGGAACAAAAGGTGGAAAGGAAAGGTCCACAAGCTATCTATTCTATCTATTTAAAGCTTTTATATTCCACCCTTCACAATGTTTCAGGGTGTAATACAATAAAATAAATGAATAAGATACAGCTAGAGATCAGTGTGCGTATTAAAAAATCTGGGCATTGGAAAAATGAATGCCCCATCTGGTGGCAAGAGCAAGCTCCTGACCATGTATTCAGGGCTGGAAAGAGTGGGGCAGGACTGCAGGGAACCTGGGCACTATTCTACCCTCAAGTGATGACAGCACTGTGGGATCCTGTGGTAAACCTTACGATGGAAAATAAAACCAGTTCAGCTCTTGTGGATACCTTTTCCCTTCTGCCTTACAATCTCTCACATCTAGGCTCAGAAACAGTTTGCATTGATGGAATGGAAGGAAAACCCAACTGGCTTACTGGTTCCCAGCCCCTCCTACTTAAGGTTGGAGGTATACATTTCAGGCATGAATTTGTTATAGCCTCTAACTGTCCTGTAGTGCTGTTAGGTCGAGACATACTAACCAAACTACAGGCTCAAATTTCTTTTCAGGATTATCAGATGGTAGTGCAGATCCCAGAGCAACAGGGATTAAATTATCAAATAGTTGTGAGAAAAGCTGTCGGTCACACATCAGACTTAGGTGATGAAGCAGACCTTAAGGAGGTGAATCCCAGCGTGTAGGCAGAAGAAGGAAGGGTAGCGAGAGCTCAGCTGACGCCTGTAAAAATCAAATTGAAACCTGGATCTCAATCAGTTCAGATTGGACAGTACCCTTTGAATCTGGAGACTGGGCACGGTCTGAAGTCCCTAGCTGACAAGCTCCTACCCTGTGGATGGCTGTGAGAAGGAACTTCCCCTTTCAAAACTCTAATCCTGGGCCTGCCAAAACTCAACAACAACAACCCAAGTAGCCTTTAAATCCATGTTTTGAATCGTGAGACTACAAACTAGTTATTGAAATACCAGGCCTGAACATTCAGATAAGAAAAATGAAATGAAGAATTCTTGCTTCATGTGAAGATCAGATTAAGAATGGTCTTACATGAATGCATTAGTGATTGCCTTACAGTTAACAGTGCATGGAGTTGTGACTAAATCCCTTGCTTCCCTTGGTTAAATATGTACCAAAAAAACCCAGTCCAGGTAACTGAAGGGTTGTCTGCTTGTGCTAAGATCCCTATTAGGAGATGGTGAGAAACTTGATTGATTGACACCAAATTTTCTTATAATAGCTTAACCCTTTTGTTATATGTGCTCAATCTGTAAGGCCTGGAATGCAGAGAAATGTATAAAGTCAAAAAGAAAGGACAGTGCACCCCCATCTCAAGAAACTACTGTAAATTCTCAATTAAATGTGTGGAAGCCTTTTCATTCACAGAAACATGCTGCACTGATTTGGGTTGGGGCCTTCATATCCCATTGCCATTTAATTTTATCGTAATTTTTACTGATTTTTGTACATATTGTTGTTTGTGCAAGATTTTTGAGCCCCTTTAAAACAAACTAATTTAGAAATCTAAGTTTCTGATATGGTTAGGCCACACTCCCATGCTTGTTTGGACAGAAAAAAAAAATGTTCTGCAACTTCCAGCATTCCCCCAAAAGCAAGTCTTGCTACAGGTTGTTGGGAGTTAAGACTTTTGTCTAAGGCAGTGTATGACTGCACCCTGGATTTTATTTGTTATCTTTCCTTTATGTTGTTCTAGGCTTGGCCCTAAAAGCAGCTTATCAGTACTTCCAACAAACAAATAAAAAGGCCAAAGCACAAGTGTTAAAGTTGCTACTTTATCGCAATGCATAATGGGATTTCACCTAAACCTTATATTGCAATAACCAATAAATGAGCCCTATAATCTTGTAAAATATATTTAAATTAATGCTGCCTTAGGTCACACTGCTGCCAAATCTAAGCATATTTATAAGCCCCACTGATTCCTAACCAGGAGTTGTCTTTTAAACTGAGACATAAAGAATCTATGTTTTAAAATTAAAGAGATTTAGAGCGCCATTTCATTCGTTACTCAGAAATTAAGGTTTGCTACTCTCCAGTAAGTGTACAGCCAGGATTGATATCGCAATGCTGTTGTCCACTCAGAAGTAAATCCCAATGTATTCATCGTGGTCATAGGATTGCTGCCTCATCGTTTATTTATGGATAGATTTGCTATTACTCATCTGTCCAGCCAAATTAAACAGTGAAGCTACCGTAGGAGTGGTGTACAGGCGATCTTCTGGCACATCCCGCTCAGAAACCCCGATAAAGGGAAACACCTTAAAGACTTAGAAAAGACTGTTTATAGGCCGCATCTCCGCTGTACGAGAGCGAGCGAGCGAGCGAGCAGGCAGGCCGTTGCTCAGCAACTAGAGCCTAGAAACTGAGGGCGTCTGAACACGAAATAAAAAGCACAACGCTTCAGCCTCAGGCAGATTCTGATTGGCTTTTCTGGCACCATGATTAGCATAACACAGTGCCCGTACTTCCTCTTCCCGGCTGTGTCTCCTCGGGCGTCTTGTAGCGGCAAAGGCAGGGCTCACGCGCGCGGTTTGAAAATGATGGCAACGGACGGAGAACCTCTGACGGAGCACGATGTTCGAGAGAGAGTCAGCTTGTGCCACGAGAATCTCGGTGACTGGCTAGCAGGGGAGATACGGGAAGCAGCCCGAGCTTTCGAACCTTACTGGCTGCCGTTTACTAGCTTTTAGATCCCTTAATCAAGCGGCAAAAGAGAACCGATTGGTTTGTACAGCAAGAGGGTGGCAGAGGACGGGCGCGAGATCCTATTGGAGAGGCGCGAGTTGATTGATTAAGGGACCTCTCCTCTCTATTTGCAGTCTCTTCCTAGAGGGGAATGGGCGGAGCCTGGCTAGAATCCCGCCCACAAAGTTTTAGGGGCCCTCCTTCTAGATGCAATGAAGCTACGGCCTGCGTAATGGCAAATGGTTTTGTTTTCTGAGAATGAGAGTTGCAGTTGAACACATGTGCAGGGCACTGAGATGGGGAAGGTTGCTGTAGGGTAGGAGACAATATTGCTATCTTCCATTTGGGAAATGCAGATGATGATTTATTAGATCTTAAGTCATTCCACGTTAATTATAATGAAACTTAATGTCAGGAGTATTTCACCTTTAACATGTTTTATCCTTCAACACATTGGGACCATGCTAGTTTGGCCAATAGGAAACATGATGTGGTGATGTGGGCCAAAGGATATATTTACTGTTTTTAAATCACCTAATAGAATTTAGTTGCTTGAGCATAACAGGTATGTGAATGATATGGATGCCAATGACCTGTGTCATTTTGGTCATTTCTTAGCTGCCATTAGAGGATGAAGAAATGAATGGTTTCTGGTTGTGTTATCATAATGTTGTGTTATGAACTCTTACTGTTCTGCAGGAATTTTAAACCATTTCTTTTATTTGAAATAATTTCGAGAGTAGGCCTACAAACACATATACAGGAAAAAAGTGGAAAAACAAAACACCATGAACCAAAAAACAAAAAGTCACACAGAGACACATTGAACTTGTCTTGAAAGTATTACTAATAATATTTACGCTCACACATATGCACACAAATATTCAAAGTTCCTGTACATAATCCAGATTGCTGTATATCAGAAATATTGGTTGAACCTCCCATATACTTGGTGAATGCTGGAAGAAGCATGGGAATTGGCTGTGTGATGGCAGAACTCCATGTCATGTGCATCTATATATTATGCCTGGGAGAAGGATTAGTTGTTAGGGGAAATACAGCTGTTTCAGTGTTTGGGTAGTGTGAAATTTTCTGTGGAACTTCAAACTCACATAGTATTTCCTTAATAAATACCCATGATATTTTGAGTGCTGTTGATATGAATCTGTCATATAAAGCACTTTTCTTATTGCAGCTGATGTTCGGTCATTGTCCCTTCCTGGAACTTATCATGAAAAGATTACTCATTTAGGAAATGCTCTGAAAAGTTTTGTCCACCTGAAATCTCTAGATCTCTCACGCAATGCACTGACCTCCTTGGAGGTAAGGTATCATTTGTTTTTTGAACATTTTCAATTGTACATTTATTGACTTTATTTCTTGCATTTCTCTACGGCTCAATAACCAAAATTCTATGGACAGTTCACAAAATAAAGGTTAAGCCCATAAATAGATACACCTACCTACCTATGTATCTCTACATATAAAAATTAAAATCTGATACAAAATAGCCACCAAATAAAACCGAGGTATAGCCAACCATGGAGGATGACAGCAAGATCTAAAAACACTTTTTTAATAACTAAAAGATGAAAATTTGAAAGGAAAAAAATGTCTTCAGTTGCCAAAAGGTAGCAGGCAAGCCACTCTAGTAGCTACCTGCTTTACCTTATGCAGTGGGGGCACCTTTAGGAAGGCCTCAGAGATAGGTATGGGAAGTTGCACTTCTTCAGGTGAACTGACCCTACACTGTTTAGAGTTTTAAAGGTTAGTACCACTGCTTACAATTAGACCTGGAACAGATACAAGATGATGATGATCAGATTTAAAACTAAATTACCATTTCAGACTCAATTCACCTGGTTTGTTCAAGTGATTGGTAATTCTACTTTCTTCTGAAATTTTGGAGTAGCTTGTGCTTCTTTAAATGCAGAGGCATTGAAATCCATTGAATTGCAACCATAGTTCCATGTCAGAGTATTTGCTTTGTGTGCAGAAGTCCTAGGTTCAGTTCCATTGCTTTTCCTGTTAAATAATTTTAGGACAAAGGACCTGAAGGCACCACTCTCAGTCAGATTACTTAGAATTAGCTAAGTTAATCAATAGTTTAGCTGGTTCAAGAGCAGTCTCTGTTGATTTTTTGCTTGAAGTACAGTGGTACCTTGGCTCACGAACTTAATCCGTTCCAGGACTCTGATTGTGACCTAAATTGGTCATGAGCCAAGTCAATTTTCCCCATAAGGTTCAAAGTAAATAAGGTTAATCCGTTCTACAACTATTTTTTTTACCCACAAAAATTTGAAGCAAAGTGAGAAAGAACAACAAAGATTGCGGCCATCTCCCCGCCCCAGCGATCGTGCTGGGGGGGGAGTGGGGGCAGACTGACGCAATTGCGGGCATGCTCGGGGGAAGGCGGGCACACTCGGGCAGGAAACATGGGTGCAATCGTGGCCATCCCCCCCAGCATGAACGTGGCCATCTCTCCCCTCCCCACCAGCATGATCGCGCTGTGCAGGGAAGGCAGGCGCATTTGCAATCGTCACCCGATGCAGAGTTCGTGACCTGTGGCAAAATTTTTATGAAATTTCTGTTCACGACCTGATTTGGTCATGAACTGAGGTGTTCGTGAGCCGAGGTACTACTGTATCCGATTGTAGCTGGGCACCAAGGAGTAAGCAGTAGTTATTCAAGTTTTCCAAGATGTTATATTAAGAGTAAACATGGTTTATTGACATAGTAAGATGGGAATAAACACACAATTTTATCTGTTAACAGGGTCTTCAGCATCTCACATATTTAGAAAACCTTAATCTCTACTTCAACTGTATTTCTACATTGTCAGAAGTGTTTCGACTCCATACTTTAACAGCACTGAAGAATGTGGATCTCCGGCTGAATCCGGTTGTTAAAAATGAATCGGATTATCGTCTTTTTGTTGTACACATGCTTCCTAATCTCAGGCAGTTGGGTAAGCAGGTTGGCTGTGTATTTTTTCTAGTTAATATAATAGTTGTGATTTGGCACTTGAATCTGGGATTTAAGCATGTTTATTTTTAAAATTCTGGGAACAATAGATGGCAAAAGAAGAAGGGGATGGCAGAGGATGAGGTGGCTAGATGGAGTCACTGAAGCAGTTGGTGTGAGCTTAAGTGGATTCTGGGTGATGGTGGAGGACAGGAAGGCCTGGAGGAATGTTGTCCATGGGGTCGCAACGGGTCGGACACGACTTCACGACTAACAACAATCTTTAAAAAGTGACCCAACAGAACCATATCAGTATGTATTTAAAACACTGTGTGATTGGAATATTTTTTTCTTCAGTGGTTGAATTAGTAGACTACCCTGCCCAAAGTATTTAGGGGAAGTGATTCCTGCCGTGCAAATGTCTCCTTTACATCTTACATTTTTAGGCATGCACTTTAAAATTTGGAATGTGAATAGGTTAATTTTTTTAAAAGCACATGTATCTTGTGTCTGACAACTGGAAACAATTGCTCCTTCTTTTTAAATAAGTACACTAGGACTCTTGCAATACTTTCTGAACCATTCAAACTATATAAATTTATTTAAAATTATTTGGAGGCTACCTTTATGAATAAAACCTTCTCAAGGCAGTATACAGGAGAAAAACTAAGCAAAATATACAAGTAATGAATCTACAGTATTAAATATTATAAAACTATAAAAAATTACACCAGTAAAAATTACACCCTGTTTTCACTGATTTTCTCATAACCTGAAGGCTGCATCTTCAGAGCCTTCCTGAAGACCTTTAAAGAAGGGGCCTGATGAACCCCTGAAGAAGGCTGACTTCAGAGGTGTGGAGCCACCAATGGAAAAACTCTTGCCCTTTGATTCTTCAGACTAACTACCCTGGGAAGTAGGCAAGTGAGAACGGTCTCTGTTGATGACCTCAAAGTACAGGCAGGCTGATAGGAGAGAAGGCATTCCGTGGTAATTTGGGCTCAAACCATTTAAAGATTTAAAGGTTAAAACTAACACTGTGAATTCAGTGTGGAAGTCCACAAGCAACTCATGCAGCTGGTATAGTGTTGTTCCTTTCCACTTGCAGGCTAATAATTGCTGACTGGTATATACCAAGAATTTGAGATTGGCTTTCTGTGTGGTGCTGTTGTGAGCTGTGCTTCTCCCTCTCAGAAGTAATAGTCTCACCAGTGCTTCTTTGCCAAATGCCTGTATTTTACATGCAAGTCTCTGGACATACACAAAGCAAAATGTTGAACCCTCTGTGATAGTCTTCACCCTAAGCTCTCCTTATGAATCCTGTCTCTGTCCCTGTGGGGAGGAGCACTGTGGAACTGGGCATGCCTGTGCTTCTCCCTCAGAGATCCCAATTGAGCCACCCTATGACTGTGATGATGGACTGTCAAGTCCACCTCTTCATGAGGCAGGGACTTCTCATCTGATAGCCCCCGCCCGCCCGCCCATCTCTTAATCTCTTCCCTCCGGATGTTGTTGCTTGTCCCCATTCTCATGGGTGGGTTGACTAGCCCCCTTGGCTGCCCTTGAGCTAATCTTCCCCATAGGTGGGTATGCCAGACCTTGGACTGCAGCTAGAACTGGAAGTGTTCAACAGTCATCTTGTTATCAGAGTCTGAGCTGTTAGTCCCACCAAAATGGTTAGCCTCTTGTATGTGCTCTTGAGCTTTACCAGAATGTGTTTACAAACAGGTACAATATGCACATGTGCAGACACTGTCAAAATGCCTTCACTTAACTCTTGGGGAAAAGGAGAAGATGGTTAATTGTGGCTATCCTATCAAAGTTCTTCTGAGTTATACCAGTTATTTGAATTCAACTGTTAATTAATGTCATTAATTTGAAAGGAGAAAGGCTAATGCAGCCTGGCTGTTCCATATTGGAAGGCAAGAAGGGAAGGAAGGTTGATTTCAGTTTACAGAGTCTGATTGCAAATGACTAAAGAGCCAAACCTTGCCCATACAGCAATCCTTTGAACAATTTTACAATTGCTTGCATATGAAAGGGAGCTTTATTCTATTCGACATTTGTATTTCATTATTAAGTGTAATTTTATTAGATGTATTGATAACACATATGCCTTACTTTACACAGTAGTTATACATAAATGTGTTGATAAGAAATAGTTTTCTTTTTTGTTTCCTACCTCTCTTGAATGAATTTGTTACACTTCCATGCAGTTCTTGGCAGTCTTGCTACTAATTTTTCAGGGGGGAATGCCTTAGACTCTCCTCCAGTCATCCACTGCCTTGAATTATTAGTTTTTCTCTTGGACTGGAGAAGTTCCCAGGGCTTGCAAATGGCAATAGATATTGATTCCTGTGCTTACCTTTCTTTTGATGTAAAGCCCAGCACAGTAATAGATTTCACTGAAACCATGCTCTTTTAATCCCAGAAGGCAGTTTAGGGTTAGGGAAGTGTGCCCAACAGCTGTGATGTTGCCAACATCACAAGTTGTATGCTTAGCTCTCTGACCTCCAGCCCTTAAATGGCTATGAACCCTGTTAACAAAAGGGAGACAAAACCCCATACGTAGCCTGGCATGGAGGTAATCATTCCATGTTTCTCAAGGACACTTGCCACTCTGCTGTGGTGAAAATTCTTCCCAAGTCTTCCTTTTTCCTACTTCCATCATCACTTTTTTGATTCACAGTTATATAAATGTTATCCATGCCCTTGAAACTTTTATTTTTAGTGTTTCCATCACCATAATCCGGATGGGAAAATGATAAAAGCCTCCCATAGCTTGTAGTGCCATAAGTGGAGGACTGAGCATCAAGCAGCCCTTTCGTGAGGCCTGTCTAGACCTCAGTGGACAGTTTGCCATTCCTCAGATGTTTTGGCCTGCAATTCCCATTAGTCCTTACCATTGCTTATGCAAGATAGGACTGATGGAATTATTGAGGTACAAGTTGCTTACCTCTGGTCTGTTTGCTACTACCCTGAGATTGTTTTGACATATTTCCTTCAAATTCTGCAGACTTTTACAGCACAGGCAACAAATCTGTGTTGTTGTTGTTGTTAGTCACGAGGTTGTGTCTGACCCATCACAACCCCATGGACAACATTCCTCCAGGCCTTCTCCACCATCCCCCGGAGTCCACTTAAGCTCACACCAACTGCTTCAGTGACTCCATCTAGCCACCTCATCCTCTGCCATCCCCTTCTTTTGCCATCTATTGTTCCCAGCATTAGGCTCTTCTCCAGTGAGTCCTTCCTTCTCATTACGTGGCCAAAGTATTTGAGTTTCATCTTCAGTATCTTGCCTTCTAAAGAGCAGTCAGGATTGATCTCCTCTAGGACTGACTGGTTTGATCGCCTTGCTGTCCAAGGGACTCACAGGAGACTCCTCCAGCACCACAATTCAAAGGCCTCAATCTTTTGGCGCTCAGCCTTCCTTATGGTCCAGCTTTCACATCCATACATTGCAAGTGGGAAAACCATAGCCTTGACTATGCGCGCTTTTGTCGGCAGGCTGATGTCTCTACTTTTTAGTATGCTGTCTAGATTTGCCATAGCTTTCCTCCCAGGGAGCAAGCGTCTTTTAAATACTTGGCTGCAGTCCCCATCTGTGGTAATCTTGGAGCCCAGGAAAATAGATTGTGTCACTACCTCCATTTCTTCCCCAACTATTTGCCAGGAAGTGAGAGGACAGGATGCCATGATCTTCGTTTTCTTAATGTTGAGTTTCAAGCTAATTTCTGTGCTCCCCTCCTTCACCTGCAACAAGAGACTCTTTAGTTCCTCTTCATTTTCTGCCATTAGAGTGGTATCACCTGCATATCTGAGGTTGTTGATATTTCTCCCAGCAATCTTAATTCCAACTTGTGATTCATCTAGGCCCGCCTTTCTCATGATGTGCTCTGCATATAATAGGCAGGGTGACTGTATACAGCCGAACTCCTTTCTCAGTTTTGAACCAATCAGTGGTTCTGTGTCCAGTGCTCACTGTTGCTTCTTGACCTGTATATAGGTTTCTCAAGAGACAAATAAAATGGTCTGGAACTTCCATCTCTTTAAGGACTTGCCACAATTTGTTGTGATCCACACAATCAAAGGCTTTAGCATAGTCAATGAAGCAGAAGTAGATGTTTTTCTGGAACTCCCTAGCTTTCTCCATGATGCAGCATATGTTGGCAATTTGATTTCTAGTTCCTCTCCCTCTTTGAAATCCTGCTGGTACTTCTGGTAGTTCTCGGTCCACATACTGCTGGAGCCTAGCTTGTAGGATTTTGACCATAACTTTGCTAGCATGTGAAATGAGTGCAATGGTGTGGTAGTTTGAACATTCTTTGGCATTGCCCTTCTTTGGTATCAGAATGTAAACTGACCTTTTCCAATCCTGTGGCCACTGTTGAATTTTCCAAATTTACTGGCATATTGAGTGTAGCACTTTTACTGCATCATCTTTTAAGATTTTAAATAGCTCAGCTGGAATACTGTCACCTCCACTAGCTTTGTTGTTGCTCAGACTTCCTAAGGCCCATTTGACTTCACATTCCAGAATGTCTGGCTGAGGTCAGTGACCACCCCATTGTGGTTATCAGGGATGTTAAGCTCTTTCTTGTATAGTTCCTCTGTGTAATCTTGCCATCTCTTCTTAATCTCTTCTGCCTCTGTTAGCTCCCTGCCATTTTGGTTCTTTATCTTGCCTATCTTTGCATGAAAAGTTCCCTTCATGTCTCCAATTTTCTTGATGAGATATCTGGTCCTCCCTATTCTATTGTTTTCTTCTATTTCTTTGCACTGTTCATTTAAGAAGGCATTCTTATCTCTTCTAGCTATTCTCTGGAATTCTGCATTCAATTGGGTATATCCTTCTCTTTCTCCCTTAATATTTTATACTCTGATTTTGCACCAGACTCAGACTGGCTTGGAATTATTTTATAGTTAAATCAATATAATTATACAGAAAAATAAATTCATCAAAACTGCTCAAATAAAAATTCAGTTCTTTGAAATGTCAAATATTTTGGTGTACAAAGGCTAATAAAACCCTAGCTCATGCACACAGCCACCACACAATCTGATCCAATGCAGAATTAGTCGTGTTAATCTGTAGGTTGAATATTGATATAAATCTCTCAGAATGTTGTTGATTTTAAAAACTAAATTGAAAGGGCAAACGTGTTGGCCACCTTCTTTGCATAGAAGGAACTTAATCTCTTTGACCTCTCAAATTTAGTCAAGACTATTCCTCCACCTGAACCAAATGGGTTTGTGCAGGGGTGACTTTGTAGCCAGTAGAATAATGGTACAGATGCCTGCCCATTATGATTTGGGCTGTTGAGTTAAATAGTCCAGGGTGGATTATTAAATATTCATTTACTGATGCCTTAAGATCCCGCTCACATGTTCTAGGGTTGCAGTATGTGATTTGATGATTATTCACAGTCTAGTAGGAATTGTTTGCTTGTCACTGAATTGGCACTTTGACACTTTTAGACTTATTTTCATGGTCTGCCTGGTGGACTATGATGATGCATGATCAGGGGGAGGTTATGATATAACTGCAGGGCTGTATGAGAAAAACAACACAGACAGAGATACTCTAGGGCAGTGATGGTGAACCTTTTAGGGACTGAGTGCCCACACTGCAACCCAAAACTCACTCATTTATTGCAAAGTGCCAACACTGCAATAAAACCTGAAAACAGCCAGTCCAAGCAAATATATATATATATATATATCTCCTTGGCAGTGCACTGACCGGCCATGTGAAAACTCAGACGAGTCGCAGGTGATGTGTCGCAGCTTGTGATGTCATCGCCTGGCACCACTACTCCTTTCCACGCATGCGCATGGCCCCTAGGTGTGCTGTTTTCCAATGTTCAGCTGCTGGGGTGATGCTGGGGCAACTTGGCTCACGTGCTGACAGAGGGGGCTCTGCGTGCCCACTGTGGCATGTGTGCCATAGGTTCGCCACCACTGCTCTAGGGTAAGGATGACTTCTTGAGACTTGCCAGGTAGGGAAGTTGGGTCCAATGGGTGGTACATGTAACTTCTTAGAAGCTCTTTCTCTCAGCCACTCAGAGTTATGGATCTCTGGTTGCAGGGGAGAGGAATCCTGGGTGGCCTCCCTCACGGTACTTGAAGAAATCTAGCCAGTAGGGATAAGGTTGTTGTTGCATAATCTCCAAGTAATAGGTACAGTTCAGCCTACTTCCAAGCAAGGTTTACTGTCAAGCATCTCCTATGCTAATAGTGTCCCACACAATGTTTACAGTTATTGCAGATCCTGTTAGGTTAATGTGTGTTAATACATGTGTCCTTGTGAACCCAGTGCCATGTGTCCTGACACGTTCTTCCTCTTATGGTTACAAGTATTGGAACATAATGCCTTAATAATAAGAGACGTTTATCAATATTTGCTTGAAATAACACGATCCAGCCTTAGTCTATTAGGTCAAATGTAGAGAAGAGATTCAAAAAGGCAGTTTACAGGAAACCACTCTTATCAGCAGCATATTTACACACAAGTTGGTGCTGCCTTTGTGAGTTTAGCTGCAAACATTAATTTAATTTAAATATACTTTCAGCCCACTTTTCAGCTGAAAATGCTCCCAGAGGGGCTTACAGAATAAACAAATCCATCCTGATCAAAAGCAGAAAGGAGTAAGGGAAGAGAAAAACAAACAAACAGACTTGGGTACCAGTTCTTAAAGAGCCAGGTCTCATAAAGACCGAATGGGGCTGAAACAGTTTGGCTAGCCTGCTGTAGCAACATTTGAGAGAACTAAAGGTAGCTAGTCTTTCTGCAGAAGTGCTGAAGTAGCTCTTCTCCCCCTGCTCTAGCAAGTTAGAGCCTTGATTTTTTAAATTGAGTGCTGTCTTGTGTTCAGATGAGTGCCCAAAAGTAGTATGATGGAATATGACTGTCCCAAATTATTTTCTGTATTAACTGTATGTTATTTATTTCATATTTAAATTCTGAGGCCATTATTTCATTTAAAGTACACTTTCCAAGTCAGATTGCACAGAAAGATCACAGGAAGTCAAATTAATGCTACTTAAAACCACACTTAAAATATTTAAGTTTTTTATGACGTCCCCTTGCTACATAGCCTCGGGACAGCTCACAAATAAGCAGAGTAAACCTCAAATCTCAAAGGTCTGATGGAAATAAAACACCTTGTAAAAATAACAGCAGTATAGGTCTTTCTGATCTTCTGATGCTGATAAAGCCCTCCTGTAAGAACCCCACCCCTTTTACTGACAGCAGTGTCACTTGAAGCAGCAGGTCTCCATGTTCTATTAATTCTATGAAGTAGGGGAATAATTTCCAGAAACATCACAACTGGCAAATTGACCTAATTGGGGGAAAAAGTGCTTCCCTGCTATCTCATCTTTCTAAGATGGCCTTCTTTGCTCAGGTTTGATGAAGTATATACATTATGTTAGTATTAAGTTATTGCCATGCAGTCTTTTCAGTGTTGTCCCCTGTGGTCACAACCTGCCCTCAACATTATCTGTGATGATTACTTTGCAAGAAGCTGTAGTTACTATGGTTTTAAGGACTCCTTAACTTTAACAGATAATATTCTCCTCATGAATTTTGCCTAGTTAAATTCTTCCAGTTTGATTGCAACCAGGTTCAATTAATTGTTCTTTAAATATTCATGTATTTATTTTTAAATTTATGGGCCACTGAATAATCTGACAGTGTACTCTAAGTGACTAATAACAATAAAATACAGACCAGCATTACAATTCCTAGTTACGGGGGTGGGGGGAACTGCTCATAGTATAATAAGTTCTTACAGACACGTTGGTAAAATCAGGTGTCAAAATACCTATGAAAGAGGACAGTTTTTGCCTGGCACCAAAATGAAAGTACTGATGGTGCCTGGCAGACCTCTCTAGGAAGAGGGGGAACAGCCACCAAGAAGACCCTCCTTCTGATTGCCATCCCTTTTATTTCCTTTATCAATGGCTTGTTCAGAAGGATCTCATGCCCAGATCTCAATGGGCAGGTAGGTATATATGGGAAAAGGAATATCTTGACTTGATTGTCTAAGTGTTGGTTTCTGTTGCATATGGGGAAGAGTCTTTCATTACTTGTTCCTTTCCTTTTCAATTTAAAGCAAAATAACTACAATAAGGAAATCACTTATTTGTAACCCTAACCCTTCCCCTAAGCCTTTGAAACAGAACTGACACTGGGGCAATCTGATATGCTAATGAGGGAGAATCCATCACTAATTCTCAAAATCTGTTCAGCATTTGCCTGGTAACTAAAAATAAGGCTAGACTAGGATTCTGTTTATCATAATTTGACCCCATTCCTCCATCCCAATTATATCTGTTTCCTTTAAACTGGGTAGAGAGGGTTGTCTGGACTCATTGTTTATAAGTAAATCTTTTTCTTGTTTGAAGTTTGTTTTTTTAGTTGTGGCATATTCTGATGTCAAGTTTCCAATAATTAACATGCATTAACTATTGTTTTCTGGGAATTACTTTTTTAGATGATCGTTTTGTAAGAGATAGCGAACGAAAAGCATCTCTCTTGCATTTCACCACAAATGATGCTTATAAATTTAAGAAGCCTTCAGTTTTACCAAAAGAGACTGCAACTGGAAGGTAAGAAGAGAACAAGTTTTAATAATAGTTTGAATAATAATTAAAGAATTACAGCACAGTGAAATGAATGTGCTATAGTCCTTTACAAGTCAAGAAAAGCCTAAATACACCAAAACTTCTGTGTCTTAAGCAATACTAGAGAAAGTGTTCTAGAAAAGTAGGCAGCATTTCTTAGAGCATTTGCTTACATACTGGTACTTGGGGACATTCAGTTGGTGTTGGTATGATTAATAAAGTCTCCTTGGAAGATCTTGGGAGTTCTCTGAGGATATATAGTTGAAGGCAATAGGCAAAGTGTCTTGTGCCTGAATTGTTTAGGATTTTGTCAAGAAAAAATCTTGAACATGGCTCATCAGATAATAGGCAACCAGTTCAGTTCATTCAACAGATGTATGATGTGTGCATACCTAGACACTTCCATGTCAGTTTGAAAGAATGGACCATATGTATGAAGTAACCTATGTGTTACAATTGTTCTGGCCAGGAAACCTTATGTACAATGGATATTATAAATCAGATACTCAGGGAGCAATGTGCATTTAGCTGAAATCCTGTATTTGGATTAATAAAGTAGTGGGCTGGGATTTCAAAGACTATGTGGGAGGAGATACATGCACAGTACTGAGACTCCTGGTTTTTAATGTTACATTCCCCCCTCCTCTCACCTGCTACTGTCTACCAAGCTTCTGTCAACCCAAAGGGATCAAAGAAGAGTAGCCTCTGACACAGGAGCTGTGGCCTACAGAAATGGAAAGATCAGAGTGGCGTGTGCATGTGGAATCCCCATTTCTTGTGCCGAAGTGGTCTGGCAGACCAGTGATTTACACTGCACGATTCTCATGATCATGAGCGTACATGCATGACCTTTCCATTTTTCAGTTAGGCTCCTACAACAATAGCTGCTAGGAGGGAAAGCACTGCCCATCTCTTGGTATTAGTTTTCTCATGTTCCAGTATTTCAGTTAAGCTGCAAATGACCAAAGCAGCCTGAGCTGTGTGTGTACTTCTATAGAAATCAAGTATAATTCAGACCTGTGTCCATGGATTCGTGCAAGTCTGATGTTCTTGGATTCATATACAACAACACACCTGTACAATGCTATAGACAAGCTATGACAGTACTAGCATATTTGGAAGTATGTAAGAGCTGTGTTGGTGCTGTGCTGTATCTGCAGTATAGTACAAGTATGCGGTTTTTGTTTCAACCAGGCAAAAACTATTATGCTCCTTTTCATTCTGCTTCAGGCAAAGTGGCATTGTGCTGGCATGGCATAAAGCTGTCCTAATTTACAGCTTGATCTAAAACCATCTTATCTCCAGTGGTCTGGGAATTCTTTGAAAGACATTGCAATCAGAACTTCTGTCTCCATTCTGAATGTATTAATTAAAATGCTGTGAATTAACTGATCTACTGATTCCCAAAATATGTCAATTAGAATTACATTATGATTTTTATCTGTATCTTAGGTTTTTAAAAGGTGCAGTTTTGCTAATATCAAATAAAGGAGGAAATAAAACAAGGTGACTGTGTGCCATCATTTTGCCTCGTTGCAGATCTGCCCATCCACGAGCTGTGTACATTAAAGGCATATCAAAAAAGTGTTTGTTGATGGATGCAGATGATGAAGCAGTCCTAAATTTCATTGCCAAGCATGAATGGGACCCAAATAAGCCTTCAGGAGTAACTGGGTCCTGTAAGAGAGCCCCTCCAGTTGAATTTCATGATTTAAACAGTATGTAATTTTTCTGTTCTAAAATCTCATTCATTAACTTCAGTAATGGATACATTCATATTAAAGACAACAGCCACTCTTAGTTTCTGAATCACACAGTGTTCAACATCAAATTTACTGAGTGCATATTATGAGATGGAGGGAAGCAAAGATCAACCAGTGTAATAGTAAAGTGCACAGGGAGACATAGCAGTTAGAGACGGGTCAGTATAGAGAAATGGATTACAACAGAATTGCTCCTGGAATGTTTGTCAGTTCAGAGAGCCTGAATGGTCTTGGTGACAGTGCCCCTTGGTTGAAAGTATTGCTGTTGAATGCCAGGCTGGTAAGGGCAAAAACAGTAATCCAGGACTTGATCCTGGTTGAGTAGCCAGTCTTGTTGGATGAGACTGAGTATCTGAACATCTCTCAGCTTTGCCCATCTAGGTTCTCCTTGTGACAGCAAGCAAGACCAAAGCTGCAATGGTCTCTTTGTTTCCTTAAAAGGTGCCCATCCCACCAATTTTGAATTCCTGTTCAGGACAGAATAGGAATTTTATAGTATACTACCCATTCTGTTGTCCAACAATCCCTTTTTCTGAACTAGCTGGAGTCAACTTGGGGGTGGTTCTTGTGGCCATATTTTCTTGTACTATCTAATAAAAACCAAGAACTTTCAAAGGTACTTGCTAAATCTTTTAATGCTGAACTTTTGATTTGATGATGTAGAATTTTGGTGAATTAAAGCCTTTGGTGAGTAATGGGGGTGATTATTTCTCCTTTTTTTTCAAGAAAAGCAAAGCAGTTTAAAATAATTTTAAAACAGTGCAGGTTCTACCTTGTCATTTTTTGTTATATTCTATTTATTTTTTGAAAGAAAGTAGCAAAAATTGAAGTGAGAAAACTTTGCTCTTCACACACCATATGGAATTTCTATAGTTGATGTTTTCCATGATGCTGTAGTATCTCACGGCACCCGAATGCAAGACTCTGGGCATATCAGAGCTAGCATGGCAACCAACATAACTTTGGAAATTGGATAAGGAGAGGGTGGCATACATGTCATTCATTTATAAAAGTTCTCACATATTGTAGAATACTAAAAGCATTCTATATTGAGTATTTAAATAGTATTTAGCATAATATTTATGCTATTTCTTTAGGTATTTACAAAATGGAAAAGAATATTGGGAGGCACTGGAGGTCTTCTGTCTCCCCACGACCTTGTATCTTAATGGAAAAGAAATTGCTACAAGAACAAGAACCTGTGCCCAAGGTAAATAAAATAAACATACAACCTTGTATTGTTCATTCTTCCTATGCTAAGCCATTAGGCAGTGCAAACCAGACAGGGATACAGTTGACTTAAATATTTCCTGATTTCAGAAATGCCAGACATTTTATTTACTGCTGTAAAAAAAAGTCAACAGTTCTTTCCCATTCATTTCAACCAACAAAAGAAAATCAGTTCAAACAATGGTTTCTCAGTTGGAAAAATCTGCTGTTTACTAATAGCCTTATCAAAAAAATCACTGCTTTCAAATTTTGGCTTGGTTATCTAAGACTCATATGGAGTTACTTTCTTGTTATGTTTGGAGCACTTCAGGACTCAAGGGGAAACCTACAGAAACTCTGGGCAAAGGAAAACTAATGGGAAAAGGCTGTGGGATAGCAGAGATAAAGGAAAGGGTAGGATGCCTTTGAACACCAGAATGCAAGAATCTGGGAACATCAGGGTCAGAATGGCAACTAACATAACCTTGGGAGTTGGGTAAGGAGAGGGTTTCATTCATTTATAAAGGTTCTCATGTGTTACTTCTGGTGTAGGGATAAAAGTGTGTACAGAAATGTGGCCTACAGTGTATTATTCAATAAGGTACCTGTGAATTATTCAGGGCTCTTGCAGGTAATATAAACCTTGTTATTTCAGGGTTTTTTTTAAATACCTGCTTCTCTTTATGCAGTCAATTCTGGTATAATATTTGGTGGACAAACTATACCAGAATAATCCTCTTCCAAGCATGATTCTGTAAACAGGATCCTGCATTCTTGAAGGCCCAAGTGTATGAGGGCTTATCAGGAATACCTTAGAACAAGAGTACAAAATGTGTTCCACCAGATACATTGGTCTTGGTGCTTGTTAAATTATTCTAATGTCCCAGCCTTTTCCAAGAATTAACACTTTTTATTGGCAACTGGCATTGCACCATGAAATAGGTTTCTATTGGTATTGAAAACTGTGGGTTCAAAGGAGTTGTTTACTGTGCTCAACTTCAGACCTCATATCCACTGCTTACTCAAGCTTTTGGACAGGTTATTTGTCCTTTGCCACACTTCCCACAACAGCTCTTTTGTGGTGGTGCTCAAGATAGTTTTTCAAATTGCCACATGTACATCTGGGCCCCAAAAGGTGCCTACCTCTGCTTTAGGAGCACCACTGATAAGCATCAAGCAGTATAGAGGATTTAACACTATACTTAGTTATTGGGTTTGGTGATTTCTGTTGCAGTGTTGAACAGAAGCACTTAATACTATTCCAAAGATTAATGCAAAGCTTGCAACCCATAGATTGGTCTTTCAAAATAGGTTGATTTGTAGAATTTTTAGAGCTTTATACTTGGTTAATTAAAAATCTTTTTTAGGATGCTGTATCAGAAAATGTGAATGCATTGGACACCAGAGAATTGGACAGAGGTATGTTACATACAAATCTGCTTAGTTTTTCTTTTGTTTTCCCACACGTACTTATATATTGAAAATAAGATAAATTCATTATCTGAGTTTAATTCATTTATATAATAACATAGGCTTAAAATCCTGTGAGTCTAGGCATGTGGGTTAGGCACCCAAGAGAAAAAGTAAATACTATGCATTTATTTATTTAATTTAATTTAGTTTAGTTAGATAATAATTTACAAATCATCTGCTGAGGCCAAAACAAGGACTCACCAAAGGGAAATAAATCCCAAGAGGTTGTTAATCCTTTATAATAGTCTTATGGGACTATTAGTGCAGAATACAAGTTGAATGAATGAATGAATGAATGAATGAATGAATGGAGAGCGTCCCTAGTGGCTCTTCCAGATATAGTTTGAGTACTTCTCCCATCAGCGTTAGCCAGCATAGCCAGTAATGAGGGCTGATGTGGAATGCAGTCCAACAATATCTGGAAGGTCAGAAGTTTGGCCTCTCCTGCTTTAGAAACATGTGGGTTGTGGATTAAAACCCTGGGGAGAAAATCCTGGAAGAACTGACAGCATTTTCAGTCCTGCTCTAACAGGAAAGCCCAGATGGTTTCAGAAAAGAATAAATAGCTCTACCATGACAAAGTCCACAATGCAGATCATGCTAGTGGAAAAGTCTGCATGTAAACAAAAGTAGCAGACTTTGTTTTCAGTGTAGGATCAGTTTTAGGTCTTTAAGGTACAGCTCAGACCAGATTAAGAGTTCAAGTTTTAGTTCACTTTTTAAAAGCAGGGAGAGTAGGTTTTTTTTAAAGCAGTATGTATTGAGCAGGCTCATAGTAACTCAATCCCTTGCAGTCCTCTTCTTCACCTTATTCCATATCTGTTGTTCACATTCCTGGTTAAGGAACAAAAAAGCATCTCTAGAACTGGATCCAGCTGAACCAGAATGGAAGCAGACTGCTTACATTAAAAAGTGGTGGGGCAACTTTTAAACTGACAGGTGTTCCACTTGTATCACCCCTAGGCATTAACAATGAAAATGTTTCTGTTTTCCCATACTTCATGTTAAAGTTATAACATTATTCATAATTGTTTTGATGAATTAGATTAACCTGTGGTTGGACCTTAACTGAAAACTGATTGATTTAACTGCTACTAGAGGAGATAGAAATTTTTGCTTTATTATGAACAGGTTAGATGTTGAAATTATACATTTTTGTAATATCCCTTGGTGTCCTTTTTCCCTATATAATTTTTATTTTATTTTATGTGAATCTCATTTCTTTTTTGTGCAAATAAAAAAAGAAAAAAGAAAATGTTTTTGACTTCCCAAATACGAATGAGTTGCAAATAGGTAAAGCATACAGTAAAATATGATGGCCAATCGAAAAGTCTAAAATGCTATAAAGAAAAATGCACGTATTAAACACAGGAAGCCCCTGCATGAAATTGGGAGATATGGAGTACTTCTTTTTTTAAAGGAGAATATATAGTGAGCATAACAGAAACCTGATAGTATAGAGAGAACTGGTAGATTATGGTTATCTCTAGAGATAAGCTCTATAGAAAGGACAAGATAGGACAAAGCAAGGGGAAAGACTTGCTCTGTATGTTAGAGTCACACTGACTACCTAACTTCACAGTATACTCACTTTGGGTGACAATACTAGGTTCCAAAAGCTATTTGGTACTGTGGTCGTACTCAGAATGTCTTGAGAATCAAGGATACATTCAAGGAGAAAATGTACTAATGAATTACTTCAGCTCTTCTTCGTGGTCTCCATGCAAATCACACACCAATGGGGCTTGACATGCAGTGTAGGCCTCATCTGGTGGAAACTTCCAGAGTTGGTCGCCATGGAGTGGGCAGGAGCAGGGACAGCCCTGCACTCTGAGTGGTACATAGGCGGCAGCTCCTGCCCATTCCCTCAGTTTCTTTTCTACCGCACTGGGCTTCGCTCTCCGGATCGGTCCTCTCCAGCTTAAACAGTTCGCCATTTTTTTTTCTTTCTCCCTTCTATTCAAAAACAACAAAAAAACCAAAGTCCTCTTCTCCTTTAACTGCGTGGAGAGAAGGCTGCCGCTTCTCTCTCCTCTTTCTCTAACCTTTCTCAAGCTTCAGTTTTCTCTCTCTTCCTTGGCTCCTCCAAGGACTGCATGGCCGATTCAACTCCACGTTGCTGCACCTCTTGCGCAGCTAGGATGCCTGCCAACAATGGGCACCCTAAGTGCCCCCTCTGCCTCGGCAAGGGGCACATCGTGGAGACTTGCACCCACTGCCAGGCCTTTAAGAAGCAGACACGCCAGCAAAGAATCACACAGCTTAAACAGGCCTTATGGTGGTGCGCCCTCACATCCTTTACCCCGGGAGTGGATAATCCCCCCAGGGAAAGATTCCTCTAAGCCCACCAGGGCAAGGAGGAGGGCAGCGTCATCAGGGGAAGGCCCCTCCAATGCGGCGGCGCCAGCGAAGAAAAGAAAGCGCTGCGTTACAAAGGAGCCACTTCCTGTGGCATCGGAGCCAGCCCAGGATCATGCGGTCTTCCTGGCCTCTGGAGCACCCCCGGGCGCAACCCCCGCATATCCAGGACTGGAGCAGCTGGGCGCTGCCATCCCAACAATGTCGCCCGTGCCTCTGGTTACCCCCACATGTGGCACGGCCTCCATGGTCACAACTGAGACCGCCGAAAGAGCACCCCCCTCCCCGGGGAACGCTGGTCCCTAGGGGCGTCCACAGGCACTGAGAATCTGCAACAGAGCCGGCAGGATCATCGCACCCCCCCCGCTGGAACCGAGGGGGATCAGCACAGCAGCTAGAGGCCTCCCCACTCTCCAGCTCTACCATCTTCAGCTATCTGCCGACAGGGAGGCCCTGCCCAGCCAATTTTGACTCTGCTTCATCGGAGGCCTGCACTTCCCGCGCCAGGTCTAGGCCCAGGTCTCAGACCTCAAGGAAGAGGCTTACGAGGGTGCAATGTGCACAGAGCCTCTCTTCCTCTAGCGATTCCCGTTCCCAGAACGCATTGAATATTCTCCCGCCTCACCGCCAGTGCTCAGAAGGCATGCGCAAGGCAGAGGCAGCCAGCAGGAGCATTCCAGGACTGCATGGCGCTCAGATCCTCAGACTCAGATCGCACCAGCAGGAAGCAGGGCTCTCGCGGATCGGATTACAGCACTGCAGCTTCTCGCCATCGCTGGATCTCACCTAGTGGCAAGTCGAGCAGCACCTCCAGATACGAGAAGGCCCAAAAGGCACCGCTGGTACAGCGAGGACCCTACAAGCGATGAGGCCTACCCCAGGAGCCCCCCCCCCCCGCCAGCACCACTACTCCCACAGCCCTGCTTCGCACTGCAAACACACATGCGCCGCCCATTGGGACAGGAGCACCCACTATCATTGATCCATATCACAGGATTCAGGTCAGAGCCACTCCCCTGCCTCAGGACACCTCCACTCCCCTGCAACCCCAAACCACACCCCAGGGGGGCAGGCCTGGGACCAGGATCTCTCTTTTTCACCTGCCAAAGGGAGTAGTTTCACTGATATGGTGCTCCGCATGGCCGAGGACTGAAACTTCCAAACCTGCCAGCCCTCCGAACCTGAGGCAGACCCGTGCTATGATGCACTTGCCTCTGGGGACAACACCACAGTGTCCATCCCGGTCATGCTTGCCCTGCTGCGCACAGCACAGCAGTCCTGGAAGGCCCCGTCTGACCCTCTGACCACCTCATGCAGGGCTGAATCCAGGTTTAAAGTTATGATCAAGCCCTTCCCCCACCTACTCCACCACCCAAGGCCCAACTCCATCATTATGGAGGCCATTCAGGGTACCCCACAAAGGGACCAGCCCCACCCCAGTGGACAGAGAGGGGTACCGCTTGGACACTATGTCCAAAGAGATCTATGCCGCGGCTGCACTTGGCGTCAGAATATCCAACTATGAGACCACTATGGGAAAAGTTGGGAGCTATTGTGGGCCAGCTCCTGAGCACCTGCGTGAGCCCGTCCACCTCATGCACACTAAAGCTGAGGACCTCTCCAGGTTCCAGCTGGAAGCAGCTCAATATCACATCAACTGCAACAGGAAGGCCATGATGGGGGCAGTGGCTATACGCCGCCATGCCTGGTTGTGTTCTGCCTCTCTCCCCGCTGAAACCCGAGCCTGCTTTGAAGACCTGCCCCTCGATGGTGAAGGACTCTTCAGTACTCAAACTGATGAGAGTATGAACTCTATACAAATCGCACACCACTGGAAAGCGTGTGGGCTTTGGCCAGGGCCCAAGACAGAGGAGTTGGCAGGGAAAGCAGCTGGTCCCCAGACGCCATTCTGGTCCGGACCGCCCCATGTGCTCCAGAGCGCCACGTTCTAACAAAAGGTGGGACTTCCAACCCCGCCAGAGGCCCCAGCAGAAGGCCAGGACAACAGGCGCAGGGTATGATGCCCTAGCCCAGGCAACCCCTCCACCACTTCATCTGCTACTCCACCTCCCACCCCACCATCTGCTTCACAGATCCTGGTGCGTTTCCTCCCCGCATGGGAGGGCATCACCTCAGATTCCTGGGTCTTCTCCATCATCAGGTTGGGGTACAGAATAGAATTCGACTCCCTCCCACCCCTTGGCCACATCAGGACAATGACCCCATCGCCTGCCCTATGGGTGGAAGTACAAACCATGCTGGACAAGGAGGCAATTGAACATGTTTCCCCCTCTGACCACAGGGGCTTCTACTCTAGGTACTTCACAGTACCCAAGCAGGATGGGACTCCAAGACCCATACTGAACTTAAGGAGGGTGAACAAATTCATCACCCCTAAGAAGTTCAGGATGGTCACACCACAGGGCATTCCCCCTCACCTTAACCAAGGAGACTGGTTTGCCTCCATAGACCTCAAGGACGCTTACTTGCGATCCACCCCGAGTTCAAACATTTTCTGCACTTCCAAATCGGCCAGCAGGCTTTTCAGTTCTGCATCCTGCCCTTTGGGTTAGCCACGGCCCCACGCG